AATAAAGTGCATAAGAGAGATACCAAGTGTCAACATCACTGAAAGTGGGAATGTTGGTCTAGACCAGGAGGAATTGCTGCTATTCATCAGATATCTGAGTCAGGGCTCTAAGGTTATGCACCAAAAACACTGGACTAACAACACTGAACAGAAAGCATTCAAGAGGCTCACCAAGAGCAGTCCCTGTACTAGAAAATAAACTTTTTTTAAGATAACATCTATGTTAGGTCTCTGTAAGATAAGCACTGGACTGACAACCACAAGGTTGGCAAGCCACCAACTGCCCTGAACGAGAAAGATGAGGCTTTCTGCTCCCACAAAGATTTACAGCCTCAAGAACCCTGTCCAGGGTTACTATGCATCAAAACCAATTTGACAGCTCTTAACAACAACAACATCAGTGTTCTTTCCCTGATAAAATCTAGAAACAAGTAATGAAAACAAATAGAGAGACGGTGAGGGAGAGAAAACTAAGAACCAAAAACGCCAGACCCACTGCCACTGAGCTGATTCCAGCGCATATTAGCCTTATAGGACATAGAGTTTCTAAGGCTGTAAATCTTTATAAATGCACACTGTCCCTTGGAGCAGCAAGCAGGTGGGCTCAAACTGCCAGCCTTTTGTTCACAGCTGAGCACTCAAGCTACGGTGCCATCAGAGATTCTCAACTAGCTGTTGTTGTTGTTGTTGTTGTTAAGTGCCGTCGAGTCAGTTCCAACCCATAGCGACCCTGTAGTGGGATTCCGAGGAGTGGCTGCTGAGCTTGAACCATCAATCTTGTGGTTCAAACCAACTTTGCTGTCCAGCACACCAGGACTCCAACTGGCAGAGAAACAGAAATAAACATGTTGCTGTTATTAAGTTGTTGTTGTGAAGTGCCGTTGAGTCGGTTCCAACCCATAGTGACTCTATATAGGGTTTCCAAGGAGCAGATGGTGAGCTTGAACCACTGACCTTACAGTTTAAACGGCTTTACAGTCTGGTGCATTAACCCACAGTGCTACATCAGAACTCCCGTTATTAGTACCATGGAGTAAATTAGTTACTGCATTCTGCTCTAACAAACACCACCTGATGGATTTCACTCATACACTTATCCTCTCACCATTTAGAAGGTTGGAAGTTAGAATCCAAGGTGCAAACTCTAGGGAAAGCTCTTTCTCTGTTTGCTCTGGGGGAGGTTGCAGGAGGACATTGTTCCTTAGCTCTTCTCAACATTGAGGTCTAGGAGGTTCTCAGTGCAGGGACCCTGAGTCCAATGGACATGCTCTGGTTGCAATTCTTTCTTGATGGAAACCAGGTCTCTCATCTCTGCTCACTGCCCTCTCCTTTTATCTTCTGTAAACTAAAAGTTGTGACTCAAGCTAGGTGTGACTTGAGTAAGGGTGGGACTTGAGGCACATCCTCTTATAAGACTATGACTCAAGATACAACTCACCCTAAGCTTGCTTTGTTAACCTGTGTCATTGTTGATGTTTTTAAGTGCCATCAAGTTGGTTCCAAATCATATCAACCCTATATAAGGTTTCCGAGGAGTGGCTGGTGGGTTTAACCATTGACCTTGTGGTTAGCAGTCTAATGCTTATCCTACCAGGACTCTTGTTAACACATCGAGGTTAGGTTTTGCATCACATGGTACAAAATGTAGGGTAGTTATGTGAGATCACAAAATGGAGAGAAACACACAATATTGGGAGTCCTGGCCGAGCCAGGTTGATGGGTCACAGAATTCAATTGGTGGCTGTCCCTGTGTGACCAAGTAGAACTACCCTGTACACTCTTCCTGACTGTAATCTTTATGGAAGCAGATCGTTGGGTTTCCCACAGAGCTAGACAAAATAAGAATATTTAAATAAAAGGAAATGAGTGGAATATGTATGAGAAGTGGGGGGAAACTGGAAAATTTCTTCAAAAATTAAGAGGAAAATAACAGCTGAAAAAAATGAGATGATTAGACAGGAAGAAGACTAGCAACCAAACAATGGCTATTCCTAAGCGAGAGAACAGAGGAAAAGGAGCAGATACAGACCTAAAGACTTAGAACGAAAGAAAGAAAATGGAAGTGTTGATGAGTGGGGGGAAAAAGACCTTAGTTTGCGATTGGAAAGTCCAAAGTTTTCCAGGCCACATTACTGGGGAAGTAATGCCATTCCGTGATTGCACCCAGGAAAAATGTTTTGAAATTTTCAGCTCACAGAATGACTTGTACCTTAGTCCAGAAAGAATCGAAGCAAATAAACAAGTATTGGTGTGGATGGCAGAATCAGTACTTGACTGCTAACCATAAGGTTGGTAGTTCAAACCCACCAGCCGCTCCTTGGAAGCCCTATACAGGGTCACTATGTGTCAGAACCGACTCAATGGCTCTTAATAACAACAAGAGTGAATATTTAAAGAGAGAGAAAACGTAGGCTTGCCTCAGACATCTTCACAGCATTAAATTCCACGTGGGCAGCATGAGCAAAGTGTTTCAGGAGGAAAAGGTACAACACTGATATTCTGTTCTTGGTAAGAAGAGAAATCGTTCTTGGACATTCAAGGATTTATAATCTGTCTTCCCGTCTGTTCCATCTTTGTGAGAGCAATGCTTTAAAATGACTCCACTGTCAACAAAGCAACTAATCTTAATTTGAACCTCAATCCTGGAGACCTGGCAATTTAGAAGGAATGATAATGGAACAATGAAACAATTTGAATATATAATTTAGACTAAGATTTTTTCAATGGTTTAAAACTGCAGAACTCAAAATAATATTTAAAATAACATACTTAAGGGTGAACTAATAATATTTCCATTTAAGTTGAATACAAGACAAATGTATGTCCTGTTAGGCAGTTGTTAGGTGCTGTTGAGTCAGTTCCGACTTTTGGGAACATTATGCACAAGGCAACGAAACACTGCCCAGCCCTGCACCATCCTCCCAACCATTGCAAGCTTGAGCACATTGCTGCTGTCGCCATGCCAGTCTCCTGTCACTGTTATTCAACATTGTTACAGAGACCCTAGTTAATACAAAAAACAAAGAAAAGAAATCAGTGGTCTCAATAATGAAAAGAAAGAGATAAAATTGTCCTTCTGTGCATATTATTTACTTTAAAAAAAATTTAAAACCAATTTCAAAGAAAGTTATTCAAAATAATAAAGTTTAGTAAGAGGACTGGATAAATAGGCAGGTATTTTTAGCTTTCATAAGTGCCAGCAATGAACAGCTAATTACAAAACATACTAATAATCAGTCACTCCACAGAAGAAAGATGAGGCTTTCTGCTCACACACACACACACACACACACAAAAAA